GAGTATCTGATGTGTAGTCACAGTAAAAGTAGTGAATTAGAGGTTCCAGCAGCAGTACAGCAGGAGCAGATGCTCTGTTTCCAGGTCCCTTCTACTAAAAGATAAATCCCGGATTGACTCCCAGCACCGAGCTGCAGTCTGAGTGTGCACACACAGCAGGACAGAAATAGAGTTGTTTGGCCTTTTTGGTGGTTTATGGAAGTCTGTCTGTGCAGTGTGTCAACACATCACGTTGACTAAGTGCAGTTTTCAACATGCAGTGTAACCCGATCACATGGGATCTGTCTGCTGTCTGGCCAGATACGGCCGTTTCTCATCTGGTTATCAAGTCAGTAAATTGGATTGAGAGTGAGAGGGTCTCATTACTGTACACAATCTACATGCAGATATCAAATGGATTCAGACACCTCAGTGTGTCTGTACAGCGTGTAAATGCATTGGTATAATTGAAGGGGGCTAAAACCCTTTTAGCCCTTAACATGCGTGAAGGGAACAATTTCTATAATCACATCAAACCAATTTCCTCAGTTGTGTTCTACAAAGAGCCAATATGCACCGTGTTACCAACCAAAGTGAGGAACCACAATCTTGTATACCTTTTATTGTGAGGCAACACATGGAGAAGTGTGTTTTTAACCACACGGACTCAACAGTGTTGTAATTTAGCTGAAAGCTCCACTAATCATCTCACAGACCCTCATTCAGCTGAGGGATGAGGTGCAGTGGAAGCTGGGAACTCCTTCCACCGCCATAGAAGTATTTTCTTTGGGCCTCACACAGTCTCCCTGAGGCCCCTTTTGCAATTATGGATAGAAATGAAACGGATTATGGTTTTAAATCCCTGGTGTTTTCATCAATGGTTATAAATCGTATGCATTTATACCAGACTCGATATGAATAAAACCAGCTTTGTGCAGTTCTTCAGTGAACTGTGAGTGCACTACTATGGTCTTTCACATGACACATCATTTATTAAAGTCATTAATCATAAACATGGGAGTTCCTTTTCAAATCTCTCCTCAATCTCAGACTGCCCTCTTTTTATTTATTCCCTCTCAGAGACAATATCCGTTTAATACTGAGACCGGCCGATTCCAAACCATCGCTTTTTTCTTCCTTTCTCCTCGCAATAATTCCGCCCCCCTTCCTCCGCCTCAGGGCTCATTAAAGCCCCCCCACGGGTGGTGTCTCCTCCCCTCCCCCTGCTCTGCTCCATCTCCCTCGCTTTCTCTTTGTTTCCTTTGCACGCCGGTGGAGATGCTCACAGTGGCCATTCATACTTTCCATCACTGGGCTATGATATTGAAAACCAATGACAGGCTCTTTGTGCTCCTCCTAAGAAATGTCTGGACAAGTCTGAGCCCCCGCGGCCCCGCGGGGCAACGTTTTGCTGTCTTCCTCCCGTGGCTTCTGAACCCTCCTCCTCTCCATGGCATCTGGTTTATAACGCACACATGGTCTGCCCTGCGGCCTCCAGCGGGCCCCCGCGCCTTTGGGTGGAGGGCAGCAGCCTCGCCTCCTCCACTGCCCCCCCGCCCGGCCTCACAACGCTGGGCTGTACCGCCGAGACACACAAACGGGTTTTCTGTCTCGCCGTCCATTTGCCAAATGATGGAGCTCCATCACAAGGTGTTGATTGGCTGCAATTAAGATGTCTTGTAATTATTTCTTTTTTTTACGACACATTCTGCCTGTCACAGATATATAATGGCAGCTCAGACGACCTCAGGTCAGATATATTGAAAGCAAATATAGTTATTTTTGTGTCAAATCATGTGTGTAGAGAAGTACCGAGGGCCAAAACACACAAAAGCCATAATATTTTATTTCATGGCTACTCCTACATGAAGCCTGCAGAAGCAAAGCCTGCTACATAGAAATGTGGGACATGCTCTGCACATGAGCTGAGGCGGCCGTTTCTCATGTTTTATGGACGTAATCTATTCATCTATGATGTATGAGAACAAATCACCCTCACGGCCGTCATGCTTTCTGACAGCCGTGTCCACCTGCTCCCTCTCTGACCGGGAATCACCGTCTGCAAGTACAACAAGCGAGCAGACGGGGTCCTGTGAGGCCAGCGCGTTGTAATATGTGTGTGTGTGTGTGTGTGTGTGTGGGGGGGTGACAGCTGTCCTCCGCGCTCCACGGAGGCTCACTGTACATGCTAATTGTGTCCCATCCTGAGGTGAACTGTGACGACCTCTGCTGCCCTCGTCGTTCCCGCCTTGTAGATTCCGGCCCATTAACAATGACTCGTAGCAGCCTGCCGGTCTTCATTCCTATTCTGAGTCAGGTCTGTCTGCTGGGGGGCAAAGGGCAGGACATTGGCATGAAGATAATAGGAAACTCCTTCAGGCAGCATCATTTACTAATCCATTCCCAGAACTTAACGTATTTCCCCTTTTCAGTCCCGGGGGCTCGTGACCCCCTCGGTTTCTCCATCTGCTGGCTGTGAAGGAGCCCTGCTGCTGAGCAACATGTCAGCCACTGCCAATGATTGTCCATCAGAGAGGGAAAGAATGAGCCTTTAAGTGAGCACAGAACGGGAGTGACTTCATGGGGGGTGACGGACTGCGGCGTGAGGTCATGGTGTTTACAGTCAGAGGGAGGACGGAGACGGCAGCCATGTATACTGCGTTACAATGAACCACGTCTGTGTGGTCGAGCACTTTACCCCCCATATATACATAGATATATATACACTAAAGAATATTACAGCACAGCTGCTTTGGCTTCAGAGTTTAAAGGTGGGAAAGTCAGTATAAAGTCAGAGAAAAATGCCTAAAGCTGCAAGAATCAATATTCAAAAACCAACAACAAATCAAATCTTCATGTCTATATGACGCGGGTTGTTGATAGTGACAGAGCGAAGGAGGAGCATCACTTGACGTTTCAGTTCTGTTGCACAGAGAATAGAAACGGACACAAGATGAGAGAACAGAGCGCAGGATTCAGCAGCTCTTCTCCTCGACACACAAGGTTGGTGCTCGGTGTCAAATGACAAAGACACAAACCCAAATGAATGCTTGTCGCTGCGTGTCTGGGGGAGACAGCAGTGCCCCCCCCCCTCACATGTGCGCTATGACATGTACTGCGTGTTCCACTGGAATACAAAAAGCAGTTTTTGTAGCAAGGAATGCGTGATGGTGATTCATACTAAACAGACGACTTGAGGCTGCGGGGCCTCAGCTGGTTGATCCCCCCCATGGGAGGCTCTCTCTGAGCGAACACTCCCACGGATTGATGGTAGACGAGGCCGTTGCCTCTTCCCACATCTTCACCCCCCCCCCAAATATACTGGGATCATCTGCTGCCTGCGGGCGTTGGAATACGTGTCCGTGTGTCTGTTCCCTCACATGGAAATAGAACATGTTATATTAGTGTTATAGTGTTTTTACCCCTCACTGCACAGACTGCATTTCACAGCTCTTTTAAAAATCTTACTTTAAAGTGAATTGCTTATTTCTAAATGGAATAAATACATCATGGAAGTGGAATATTGGCAACTAATATTTATATTTTTTACAACTGCATGTGCAGCTGCCGGGGGCATCCGTCCATGTTCATCACTCTGTACACCTTCACAACGGGTCTCTGATGAATCCCATTTTATAAAAAATGGATCCAGTTCTTGCAGCGGATTACAGCACCAATAGTACTTAATCCTGTTGGATCATTTTCTGCACACAAAGGAACGAACGTCTTATAGCACATTTGCTTCGTCGGTGTTATTGCTGGTGTCACTCTGCACATCGTTTTTCTTTTTCTTGCCAGCACATATTTATTACATATTCTGTAAGAGATTTCCATCCCCTCATAGACCACGTGGAATGTATTTCCAGAGAATCTGGCTGACTTTCTATAGAAAAAGAAGAATTAAAGACATTGTTGTTTAGTCAGGAGTGAGCGTCCTTGTACACTATTGTGTGTTTGTTTACTTGTACATTATCGACGCTGCAGAACGGCCTCTCGTACCTTAAAGCTTAGATAGTCTAGTTTTAGTTTGTAGAATATTTCATTTCACTGATTTCACTCCTGCTAGTGTCTCTTTTTGACCTTTGCCCCATGTTGCTGTAAACCTTGTGAATTTCTCATCTGATCTCATCTGATCTTGGCAACCAAGCAGATGAGCGTATTTCAGAACTCCTTCTTTGAGAGCGCACACACACACACACACACACACGGAAGGTGCCTCTGCTCAGCCCGGTCCGTTCCCTGCCTGCAATGGTGCACTACAGCTCGGGTCACGTGTTTGTGTACATTATCTTTGGGTACTGCCTCTGCAATGATAGCAGAGGAGGCAGAAAGGGTCACGCATGAACTGCCTTTGCCCTGTTTTGAGGGATTATTGACAGTCGAATCCTCCACTGAGACGAGTCAATGAAGGAGCCTCATTTGGACCCCCAGCGGGATGCTGTTCCCGCTGAGAGTCTTCTCCTCCCTGCATCGCTCTTCTCAGTATTCTCAGACCTGTTGATCGGAATCAGGTGTTCGGCCCGCGTGGAACGTTTGTTTATTGGTGGCAGCTGTGCAAAGGAAGACGTCTGGTCGCGAGTCTGAAGCCTCCCGTTCTGACATCGAAGCCTCCTCTGAATGTTTCTTCCCCCTGCGGTTTCACTTTTGGTCAGTTCTGCATCCAAACGGGACTAATTGTTTTGAGTGTTGCTGCAGAATATGATGGGATGGGTGGAGATGTCTGGCCTCCTCAAGAAGTTGCCCCCACAGCTCAGACACATTTGTACCAGACACATTTGCAGACAATGAATTTGAAATGCGAGCTGAAATCCAACGACAAATTAAAAATGAAGTCACTCAAAGTTTAAGAGTGTTGTTGTGTTTTTGTGTATACGAGGGAGCCTTGTGGTTCCGTCCTGCCCTCCCCGGCCCCCCCTTTACTATGAGGCAGTGTTTTGGACCGGGGCCCAGGACCGAGCCTGAAGCACGCTGCTCCAGCCTCTCCGGAGCGCCGACTCTCACTGACATCACGTCAGCTGGGGAGACATAGTGGACCATGTGTGTTGGTGGAGTCTAGCTGCAAAGGGCTCCGCGGATCCTCCTCTCTCCGGGTTCCCGAGCCGTGAGCCGCCGTCAGTAGAAAAGGTGGGACGCCATGGCGGTGCGCATCATTCGCGGGATGGAAGACGTGGTGGCGTCGAGCAGCCAGCTGGTCTGGAGCGTGGCGCATCAGACCCTGAGGAGGTGGTACAGTCGGGGGCTGATGCCGTGCAGACGCTTACTAGAAGCCTGGTTCGGGATTGGAAAGTGCTACCAGGTATGACGTGGATGCAGTTTAAATACAGCAGCTTTAACATGTGGGATTAATTAGTGAGCCACACATGGATTTCTATAATCACCCATTGCGTTTTTATGGCTTTGATTGGCCGTAACCTCCCTTCAAGAGTTGAGCGAGTCGTCTGGCTCATTAGTGTATGCATGTGTTTGTTTGTGTTTGTTTGTGTGAGTCACCGTGCCTGTTTACTCTTAACGAGGGTCTCTCCCCGACACACATGGACGTCATTAGAAAAGCAGCGTGCGCCGTTTGATCTCGCTGTCAGAACCATGAGGAGAACTTTCCATGAAGTGCTTTGTTGCTGCAGCACCTGAACGCCGTCGCTGCGTTTGCTACTCGTGTTCTTTGCTTTCTCCCAGACCCCCGCCTGCACGTCTTTGCACTTTGTTTTTTTTATTCATCGTCTCAAAATTACAGAAGCAATGACGTAAAAGAAAATCTGTAAATACTGACTAATTTAAGATAGATGAGAATATACAGATCAGCTCTCTCAATGAGTGAGTTCTACGAAGTACCACAAATACTACATCTGTTTAATCTGCTTTCCCTTTTCTGATGATTTCTGATTGTTAACTGTAATCTTTAGTGGAAGAAGGATTCACAACCTGTATTGAAGTTGAAATGCTACTCTATAAAAAGACAAATACTCCAATAGAGTTCTGTGTCATGCATGTTATAGATACATAGATACATACCGGTATAACTTTTAACGGCCTTACGTACTTTTAAACGAATCATGTGTTTTATTTGTAAATGTGTTGTATCTATAGATGAAAAATGTCCCTCTGACATCTGGCGGAGTAAAGGTGTGACGCAGAATGGAATGCAGGGGGGGGGACAGGTCGGTGTGGCTGGCGGGGTCACGTCCAGACGGACACCACCGAGGCCCGACAGAGCTTAAGAGGGTTGACCTCGTTGACACCGTCGCGACCTTTTCTTTTCATCATCTGGGACCTGTGAAGGTCTCTCCTCAGCTGGTCTGAGGGATAAAGTGGATAAAGGTGTCTTTGAAAACTATAGCGGCTTATATTTAACGGTAGATTCTCATTTTTTTAAGAATTCATTTGAGGTTTTTGGAATTCTTTGAAGCGGGATTGAGTGTTCAGGGAAGGAGATTTGGATTTGGAGAAATGTGCACAGATCTTGAAGGTGAATCTGAAATCGGTTGGCTGGCTGTGAGCTTGATAGACTGATAACTGGAGGCCTTTGTCCCTTTATGTTTTATGTCTGTGCCACTGGACCGTCACAACAGTGAAAGGGCTCCTTCAGTGATTAATCCCAGATTAAACGATGGAACACGTAGCCGGTTCATCTCCCCCATCAGGACAGAACCGTACATCACTCTGTGGTTCGGGGCGTCGAAGGAGAAGCAGTTTGTGTGGTGTAGACGTGAGACAGCCGCTCTGTTGTGGTGCAGAGAACAATGTGTCCCAGTACAGAGTGAGGCTCATCGCCACGCCAGGGCGCGTCCCTCCATACTACGGTCACGCCAAACGCCAACGGGACCCTCACTTTCCAACGCAGAGGCCAAACATTTGGATACCACATGTTTTGCTCTGAAGTCTCAGAAACAGAAAAGGGCATCCCGGACACATTCCTGGGTATCAACAACAGACCGTCCCTCCCCACGTCACCCAGATGAAAAGTCAGTGTCAGGATAACGTTCTCAGAATGATGGAATAAGATCGCCCCCTTTTTTTATAGTACAACCAAGACTTTTCTGACTGTACTAATGCTAATCTCTCATCCAATAAAAGGCATATTTAACTCTCCAATATTATTGTAAAGCATCTTGTAGAGTTTACTAATTGAATAAGTGTTTTTATAGTTTTTTAAAAGCTTGTGGAGATGCTTTAAGCCAAATATTATCTGCCGATGTCTACTTTTGATATTGCCTCCAGGGGGCGCCAGAGTCAAGGATACAAAATGCATATAGTGGCTTTAACTATGACCTGAGTTGCCTCATCATGTGGTGAGTTAGTAGATTATTACCACTGATGTGGAAAAATACCATTAGTTACTTTTTCAAACACAAGTCACGCAGGGTTTTGCTGCTCCGGCACTCGAGCAGCAGCTTATCGCCTCGGCAGGAGGCGGGTTCAGACTGCTTGCCCATCTCTTATGGTGACTAATGCATAAGGAACACACTTTAGGAACGCAGACACAGAAATCCAAATTGCTACATTACGTACGATTTCCTAAATTATTTCTGTCATTTTGTAACGTTTTTCCCGCAGCACTAAAACAGATTATACGGACACCACTTCATCTGAATTTCTAAAACCACAATTAGAATATTGTAAAACAATAGCTTTCACACACTGAAATATGACAAATATGCATCACCAGAATAATATTTGTCCTGCAATTAAAGGCAGATCTGCTGACTGCAACGGAATGAATCATGAAGCCATTCAGCTTAAACAAAGCAGCGGGAAGTCAATTAAAGTCCTGCACCAGGACTTCATTGTCCTTTGGTTTTGTTTCTTACCGGCTGAGGGACACGTTGGATGTTGACGTTTCAGAGTTTTTCACATCAGACCAGCGTTGCGGCGGAGGAAGGATATGTGGGCGAGAAAGACAATAGCATGTGTGGAGACACTTTGCAGTCTTTGTTTATGGCTCACGGTGCTGCTATAAAGAGCCGATTTATGGCTGAATTTAACCGGTGCACTTTTTTTCTTTCAAAAACGGATGATTGCGTGCAATGCCTTTGATGTTATAGAGGTTACATCCCATATGGACGCTTAACGGATCCTCTCATTCTTTCAACACAAACACATTTTATTCCCTGGGCTAAAATAGATGAAGCATGCACGGCTTCGAGTGGAGAGGATCTGCTTTGGCACTTACTGTGTTACTTTGCAGGAATTGTCTAACGTTGTCCCTCCTCCTCTAGATGACCGAGGGCCGACTGTGTCAGGTTCACCTCCTCGATGGCAGGAAGCTGGAGCTGCTGGTTCAGGTAGAGGTTCCTGCCGACCAAAGTTTTAAACCTCATGGCATGCCGGATACATTTTAACATACAAATCTAAACTGATCTCATGTGTCTTAATACAAACTTTCCAGCCAAGGCTGTTGTCCCGTGAGCTGTTAGATCTGGTGGCCTCACATTTTAACCTGAAGGAGAAAGAATACTTTGGTTTGAGCTTCATAGATGACACGTACGTGCATTTAACAATACTATTGCCATTTTATGAGCAAAGAGTGCAATGTACAATAGCAGTATTCCAACACATGATTTGCTCTTCTCCCCCTGACCAGTGGCCAGAGTAACTGGCTCCAGCTGGATCGTAAGGTCTTGGATCATGACTTCTCCAAGACGTCAGGGCCTGCAGAACTCAGGTTCCTGGTGAGGTGAGTGCTCTCACTGCCAAGGCTTAATACAAAATACAGCTTTATTAAAAACGTCGGCCTATACTCATGATTGGAAATGTCAATATTTGATATATGAGACTGTTGTGAGTAATAAAGTCCTGATATGAAGCTGGTTGGTATTTTTGAGCTAAATGGCCTGAAGGACTTGTCCCCACCAGCAGGTGGCAGTAATGGAACCAGTTTGCACTGGTTTGCTGTGTGATTGCTGAACTGTGTTTGACACAATGAAGTCTGTGTTGCATTGATATTGTACCTTGAGTGAGCTTTGCTGACCCCCCATAAAACAAACTCTTTACAGGTTTTATATTGAGAAAATCACCTTCTTGAAAGAAAACACAACAGTGGAGCTGTTCTTCCTGAACGCTAAATCTTTAGTGTTTAATGTAAGTGGTTTTAAACATTTATTTTCTGATAAACTCTCATGGGATATACATTGTTGTTATCCTTGTAACCAAATTCGACCTGACGTAGAGGTCCAGATCATTTAACACAATTATTTGCTATCTTAAGATGTCTAATCGAACTATCAATCTGCCATCATTCTTGATTTACCAAAGACTAATAAGACTTTATTCTGCTAGAGGTTCTAGATCAGATGATGATAGTGTTTCATCATATAACATTACCTCTATATACACATACATTGTTCATTTCCAAACAGGCTTTTCTTTTTTTCAAACATCATGGCCTAAACTGGCCTATGTTATCTCTATACTTATGTATTGTGCACATGTAATGTTGAGTATCCAGTATTTACTTTTCTTACTATTTAATTGAGGAAATACAAGTCTTTTTATCATTTACATTGTGAAAAACTGAAGCTCTGCATATTACAAATCCAACGGTTTTCACGTATGCTGCTTTCAAATACTGTTGGACATTTTACTGTTTTGCCTAAAATTTTACCGTCATTTAAGAAATATATTAATATTCAATGCAGTGTTTGGGAATTTTATTTAAAATACCCTACACTGTGGTCATAGGATAGCGAAAAGGTAAAATAGCAGGTTATCATTTACATAGAATTATGTTTTGGCGTTTGAGGGTAATTTGTTAAGAATTGATTATGTCCCAATAGAGTGCAAACGTTAAATTCAATCATTCACGTGGGAATTATAGCAGGACGACTGACTACTAAGTGTTTTCTCTAAACAATGTTATAGTTGTTACAGTTGCATCTGAGACTTTTTGAACTGCACGAGAGGCACGTGAACGCAGCATGTGATCAGACCTTTCAGTGCCGTTTCTTTCGCGGGGAGAGCAGACGGTCGCCCCGGGAGACGGAGACTGTTGAACCTGCTTTCGGACCGTACCACTTTACTGAGGGGGGCTGTAGCTTCAGGCAGGATCTTCAACGTGCCTCTCCAAGCACCACTGTGTGTTTTGTCGGTTAGTAAAAGCGTAATGCTGACTCGGGTGCCGAGCCGCTGGATTAAACACACTTCCCGGAGAGTTTCACACTCCGCATTGCCCCCGCGGCATTGGTTCGGTCGGTAACGGTGGGACGGAGAGGTACGGGACGGGGAGATTCTCCCTCAAGTCAAGTGTTTCGGTCGGACTGCATTTTGTACGAGCGTACAGACCCCGTTCATTTTACCTATTGTTTTAATTACAACAGGAGACCATCGAAGTGGAAAGTGAACATGTTTTCAAGTTAGCCGCGTTCGCATTGCAGGTAAGGAAGAGTTACTCGATATTTTGTCACTCACCGCAAACGTGAATGAAGACGGTTGGTCACGTAACATTTGAAAACACTTGTCTCCTGCTTACGTCGGCTATTGTTAAATCTATTTTATTTTATACCTACTTGTTTTGACGTTGTGTTAACTCGAGCTATTAGAGCAATTAAAACGTGTTTAATTGTGTTGTGGTGCTACGTTATCCCCTTGTTGCCCCGGGTTAACGTTAGCTAACATTAGCATAACTGTGAACTTATTGGGTGCTTTTGAAGTCTCGCATTTTCTCTTAGTGCTCTTACTAACTGCGCTATCTTATCTTTTAAGGAGGCCAAAGGAGAATATACCAGGTAAGAAGTTATCAATTATCATTAAAACGCAAAACCGCATGTTAACTAACGTTAAAGGGTTTTTGCCTCAACACCGAGCAGTCAGTCATTTCTTACGTGTTTACGCTGAGCAGTTCAGGGTCAATTAGCTGGAAAGAAATAGCGGTGTAAATACACGTCAGGTACAACATGCTATGCCTTTTCTGTTTGTTTTAATGTAAAGTTCCATGTTATACCATTTTAAAACATGTTCGTCATCCTTTCGCCTTTTCGTAAAGTCGCGCAGTTGAACGCAAACACAAACCGGGTTTGTTTCTGATCTGTGGAAAGGAAGCAGCTTCTGGTTATCGAGTGTTTGGTCAGTGTTCAGCCCACAAACCTCGACTGTACATGCAGTTAATGTTCAACTTGACTGCCAGATTTTATTTTCACTGTTACTTCCCAGAGTCAATAATTCCCTTCTGATGTGACATTGAAGTGAACCCGGCTGGCCTGCTGCCATCCACGTGGTCCACACGGTTCTTTTAAAATCCAAACACTTGTTCTTTGTCACAATGTGGACCATCGAGGTAGACACACTTCAACCAAGCCGTTCAAAGGCAGTTCTTTTAAATGTCACGCATTTGAAAAACATATTTGGACATCATGTCCCAGGGGACGCTGGGGGGAGAATATGTACCTGGATAATCTGTGCACTAGTGGAGACAATGTGGTCATTGTGTGGCGTTCCCTCATGGGCTCGACCTGCTGATAAGGTATGTTTCTTTTATTTGTTGTCCGTAGGGGTGAAGGGCGCTGGCTGTGATTAGTAAACACTGTCCGAGTTGGTGACTGAGCAGGTTAAAGCAGCACAACCTGTGTGTTGTCCCACCGCTCTCCCTCTGTCCGTCCATTATGTGGACACAAAGATTTGTGCTCTGTGAGGATCGGCCCTACTATGGTTTGAATGGCCGTGCGTGCAGTGCAATGCAGTTTGACCTCTCGTCAAACTATTGCTTTTTCTTCTCTTGCAAAATCACACACAGGCTTCGTTTGCTCCTCCTCATTGACCCACCCGATTATTAGTCCTCATTGATCCGATGCACATTAATTACTTTGCAGATTTTGTAGTTTTATTTCCTGGATGTTTTGATTTGAAGCTACATGGCTAAAGTGCAGTCCGAGGTCTGATCTTTCAACTCATGTGGGTGTAAGGATAGGCTGCACTTTGTTCTTACTTTGAAAGCACAATAAAAGACAAGCTGCCAACAAATCTGGAAGAATCCGTGTAGATGGGAGTGTGTCCAGATCAAGCTGTTTTCGTCTGTATTCGCACAGATTATACTTTCTCCTTGCTCATTCCACGATGTTATCCAGACAGTAGATTTTAAATTACTCTCAGTCAAGTTGTTTTTCTCAAACTGTATTTAGTTGAGTGTACTAAGGGCCCCAAAATGTAACACTGTTATCGTAGAAATGTATCCCCCGCTGTCCCGTGGAAGCATTTTCTCATTCCCTGTCTGCAATGTCCGTTTAACTACTTCTTTGAGAGAAAAGGCCCAGTAAATCCCCTCATAAAGCATATAATATAAAAGTGTCTCCTCCACGCTGTATCAGCAAAGGGCTCTGGAGCAGTGAGATTATCTGCAAAGGAGTTATGGAGACCTCCTCCTCCTACAGTTGGCTGCCTTAAGAGGGATGAGCCAAGACCCACTGTCCAATGGTAGACAACTTGGCGTCAAGAGGACTCACTGTTATTGTGGTGCTGTGGGCCAACCCCCCCTGCTGTGCTTTGAATAAAGCGCCATCAGGTTTCGCATTGTGCTCGTATCAGAAATCCCCTGGCTCGCTGTTGGATAGCATCTTGCAGTACTGAATCACACCACCTGCAGGTTTAATCCACAGCCGATTGCCATGAATTAAAACTCCTCGCTAATGAAAGAGTTTGCAGAAAAGTGTAGGAAATCCTAAATGAATTGTTGTCTTCTTGTCAGTTTTAAAACTAACCGACCAAGGGGTTTTATTTTGTACTTGTCATTGACTTCAAAAGTGAGTTGGAGTCATTGCCTCTGCCACTACGAGTTGACTCCTGTTACTTTAAAGCAACTGATAACACAATGTGTGTTCAGATGTTCACATTGACCAACGTTCCTCCCGGACAGTGTGCAGGTGTAGCCTGTAGTTAGTGGCTCATTCACAGCAACCGGCCCTCTCATTGTGCTCCTTCCATAGTCACCACGTCTCAGCCGCGCAGAATAGCTGACACGTGAGTATGATCACCCCCCCACGCTGGGCCGGCTGCTGGAATGGCCCCCGCGCTGCAGATAACCGACGTGGTAATGAATTCCAGATTGCTGACGGGGCAACGTGACTGTGGAGTAGATCACCCAGACAACGCCAGGCCCCAGCCGTAAAACGCACGCCATCAAACCCCAAGCAAAGTGCCGCGGCAGCAGAACCCAGTCAGAACCCAGGAGAGGTAGTTACAGGGAAGAGCGGTTCAAGTGCCTCTGGCCTTACAGCGCCTCAGCTTTGTGTTTGTTTGGTAAGCTGCCTCACTTACCTGAATCATTATGGTCCTGTGGTACCATGTCAGCGGCTGTTCAAAAGAACAGCACTTCAGTTGGTGTCCAAGGCAAATAGCCATTGGCCATAACTCATCCAATGTTAGTTCCGTTGGGGTTGTTGTTATAGATGGAGGATGTTCTCCGAGTCCACATCATGTACAGTCTGACCTACACATTTGAGTTTGTCTCCGAGGCTCCCGGCAGGTTTGTCACTGTGATGGGGCTCCAATGCTTTGCAACACAGGGAGAGGCTGCCAAGTGCTCGTGATTGGCTTTTGTCCAGGTCTCCGTGGGCTGGCCGGTCCTTTTTGTCCAGCTGAAACTGTAGATCCTGTACGAGTACCCATGGTTCACTATTGAATACCTGGTGACGAACAGCACAGTTTGTCTGAACCGATAGGATGGCCAGTTTCTCTGTTTAGTACTTACGGATTTTGGCAGAGTTTGCGAGTAAAACCAATGGGGACCAGTTGCATCTGTCATGGTGTGAATCAATATAAAGTAGTAGAGAGTCAACGGGAGGAGTTTATCACTGCTGAGAACCTGCATGACATGGCTTTGATTTCTCAGATCTCGTGCTCGGCCTCTTTAAAAGGCTTCCTGTGATTTAAAGGCCCTGCATGTGTTTTTATAAGCGATGTCTGGCAAGACATGAGTGAAGCTCAAGTTTAGTCTTGGCAAGTAGTACTACTATTTATAGATAAGAAAGATGAAAATCATATCCTGACACTGCTCCTTTCTAAAGGTTTGAAAGCGTGAATTATCCCTGTCCTGCCTGAAGGGAGAAGAGTAAACCTCCCTGTGAAAATAAGAACAGGGGCAAATGTCCTCTACACATTTTTAGACTTTGAGTTGAGATTCTACCTTCACTTTCCTTCAGTATACTGGTTTAAAACACTCGTTTCAGTGCATTGCAGGTTATTATAGATGTCTAAATGCAGACATTGTCATCGTATAGGGCAGCTAGTAGTTAGCTACACCATGGTGAGTGTAAAAAATGACTTTTTGTTGTTGAAGGAATGCATTAGCCGTTTCTTAATGTCTGTTCATGATTATTTTTCTTGTCAGTGCTGACACGGCCAGATCAGACCTGAAGCAGCTCCCAGTTCTGCCCACCAGAGTCTTGAGGGAGCACCCGTCTCTCAATTTCTGGTGAGTCAATCCCTTCCTCCACGAGATATGCGTCACAATTCACATGTAAATAGCCTCTGTGGTCATTGCCACTTGGTTGCACAAAGCAGCAAATTCCCCAGCACAGCAGCCTTGAGTGTCAAGATAGCGGTCCGGTTTTGCCTCTGATGGGGTAACTATTTAATGCCTGGGTTGTTAATTATGTTTGCCCATTAGCCCCTGCAAGCACACGTGGAGCCGCTGGCTATCTAAAGGATTGTTGTCCGTCTCTTTAATCCACACTCACTGCTTTTTCTTGTGTCTTCTCCTCTGCTTGTCCCCTCTTCATCTGGCTAAATGGTCACCCGATGCTGCGGCAGCAGCTACGTTCAGTTTAACATCCAAATTGAAATCTTTTTTTTGGCACACATGAACACATCCATCTTTCTCAGTCTCTGTCTCTTTGTCTGTTAAGCCGCAGTCGGTTTGCAGTCTCGCTATGGTATTAAAGGGGATGATTGCAGTGGCGAGTAAATGGGATGCATTTGCAGGAGAGGTAGATCAGAGCCATCCGCGGGCCAGTGGGCCAGACGGCATTTTCTGCATGAGCAGACAGAATGTGTGTCAAAGAAAGAGCCCTCTCACAATCCCTCTTTGGCTGGAATGGAAAACACTTGATGGATTATTCATTACATTTTTTTATATATATCCGTTTGCAGTGAGGACAAAGTGATTGAACACTACACGAAACTGAAGGGACTGACCAGAGGACAAGCCATTGTGCAGTAAGTTCAGAACAACTACTATTTCTTTTAGGATCACCTGTGTCGCCCAAAAGCGATGAACCAGTTCTCCAGCGCCTCCTGTTTAACCTCATGCGTCTGCACCGGGTGGCTGTCGTCAGCACGCCAGGAGGTGCTCGTCGACTAGGCGCCCAGCCTTGAGAGGGAGTCGGTCCTCCCGTGTGCTTTCTTTGTATTGTAACTCCGAGCAAGCAAGGGTCATTTACTGTGGGGTTGATTTGTGCCCTTGAACCGATCAATGAACTCTCCATCCGTCAGGCACCCGAAACAAATCAATCGGCCCGCCGCTGCAAACTGCTTTGGCTTCTCAATGACTGCCGCTTAAAGCCCGCTCCATCTGCGGTTAAACAGCCACCCGTTGACCGTGATGAAGTGTAAATGGAGATCTTGTTAACCTGTTCCCTTCTTCTCCAAAGGTATCTGGCCCTCGTGGAGTCCCTGCCGACGTACGGAGTCCATTATTACCCAGTGAAGGTAACAGTGGTGCCCCGAGTCATGAAGTAGCTTAACTTGATGTCATCTTCATTTCATTTTTCAGAATTCCTCCTTGAATTAAAAAAGAAATCCAGTAAAGCACCGCAGCACATTTAGTAACCTCACCTTTACTTGTTTCCTGCAACTTTCTCAACCAAGCCTTATTAAATCAAGGTGTCTGAGGAGATCAAACAGGGGTGTTAAAATGACTCAGTCAGGCTCACACAGATTCAAAGGCCTTCATTGTATTTAATCTCTTCTTTTGTTGCTATTGTTGTGACCCTAATGGGATAATTGCTTTGGTAACACGCCTCTTCTTCTTTTTTCAACTCTTTCCAATAAAGCTGCCTGTAGTGAGCGGTGGTCTGATTTGTGCGTGTGCTTTCTTGCAGGATAAGCAGGGACTGCCATGGTGGCTGGGAGTCAGCTACAAGGGCATCGGTCAGTACGATTTGCAGGATAAACTGAAGCCGAGGAAGGTAGGCTGGCTTCTTTTTTTACAGCTTCTCTATTTTATAACTGTTTGTTTATAACCGCTTAACTTCCCACTCGACAGGTATTTTGTTCCAGTCTTTTTTCTCATCATGTCTAGACTCTAAAGATACAGGACTTTTTTTGTTGTAAAAATGGTAAAGACCTCTGGAACTAACTTGTTTGGACCTAAAGAACAACTTGATGTGGTTTTCCCCACAATAACATCTAATACTAAAATGAGAATTCTTTTTTTCAAAGCTATTGGCTTTTAACTTCTTGTGATGGTATTTCAGATTGAGCACTGCTGTAAATCTACGGCTTTCATTGCCGTGCCTCTCGTTAGCTGGTTAATGATCCATCCACACTGTAAAGGAAGACCCTGGTTCCCATGTCAGTCAGGACCACGAGGAAGACGGATGGGAAAACGTGTTGGAGTATCAGTATGTGCTACGTGCAGTCAAGGCTGTAGGCATACGAGCAAATAGAGCACGTCGCAGGTTATCGCGTTAAGTTTAAAGCGGAGTGGACACAACAGAGGTTTGGGTACTATGAAAGTAATGTGAAATACCATTTATCGCAGGTACTTGTGTATAAAAACCGTTGAGTTTTACTATTATGTCCCGCCCCTTTCGGTTCCTTGCAGCACTACCTTTTTGAGTTTGTACTTTGTACTCAAGCTCAATGTTTGTGTAACGTGATAATGTCCCAAACAAGTGTTTGTCTCCAGCGTCTTTCAGTGGCTGTAGCTGCATGGCAGACCTTTTGACTTAGCAGAGTGTGCTGTTGCAGCGTGGCCTTAATGGCTACGTCTGTCCCGACCCTCCTTGGGAAGGTGTAATTATGTCCTCTGTGGGAAGCAGCAGACCTCTGGCACTGTGCCAGCCAGGTGGGTGGGCGTTTGGAGCTGGGGGACCGATACCGGGTTTCGGTGAGTGTTTTTGATAGAGAATTGTTTCCTTATACGGTTTACTCACCTACTGATGCTTGGAAATGTGTGGCTCCTTTGCGTCTGCCTCTCAGGGTGTCCTCTGTGTCTGGAGCCTCTTGTATTCACCCATCCCTTCTCCGCATGCTGCCGTCATTATGTTAATCTACCTGTCTGTGTGTCTTGGAGGGAACACAATTGATCAAACCATGCAGAACAATTCTCTGTGTAGAGGTGAAGCTAGCGGGAAGTCAGGAGTTTAAAGTTGTGTCATTTTTATTTTTCTACATTTTTCATTAATTGAAAAATCCTTAACGCATTAACACAACATTAGCACTCAAAAGCCCACTCTGCCTGCCCTGTAAAAGGAAAGTGCTATTCACATTTAGTAATATGAATACTGTTATTTCCATGACGTGTCTTCATGTAGTGTATGTAAGCAGACAAAGGGCAGAGAACAAAACAAACAGAAGTATTCTGTAAGGAGAGGATGAGTTAAAGTATTTCATGTGAGCAACGTACGTACGATGGAAGCCGCTGGCTGGTCCACACTCGTTCTTCCTGAATCAATCAGCACTCTGGTGTCCCTCCCAGTGAGACCTCATGCAGGTCTCAGGTCATATGTGCTGCACATATGATGAGACAGCTGAAGCAAAATAAAACTGCTTGTGGGTAATAGAGACATGAAAGAACTGTCTTAGTTTCATGTAAATACTTTGAAATAAAAACTGAACTCTTCCTCCACCCGATCCATTTTTTGTTTTATCAAACGCACATTCCGTGTGGTCGTCTTGTCACGTTCTCACAACTTGCAGCGATGCGTCACGCTGAGGAAACGTACAGTTCTGCTCGATGGAGGTGACGTGTTATCTGAAGGTGTGGCGAGTAACTCCGAGCCGCCTGACACATTTTCATCCATGCGAGACATTGCGCCCCTGGGGGGGTTTGGGTTGTGGGTGTGAGCTGGCGTTTCTGGTTTACTTCCAACCCCCCGTAGCAACATGTTTGGCAAAAACAAGGAAGATGAAATACTAAAGATAGTTTATTTTTTTCACTCAAATTTGAGTGCAGTATTTGTCTGTCGTGTTTGCTGCTTTTAGAAAATGGCTGCTGTTGTTTTCCCTGCGTAAGAGTCAAACTGATGAGTCACCGCTTTGCGTAGCTGCAGAGTAAGTCAAGCTGCTCGTGTGCATAATGATTCCTCCAGTGTTGCACTTTCAGGTTGACAACCTCTTTGGAGAAGGGAATACATCTCTACACTAAAGTAACACTTCTGGAATGTTGAACATTCGGTCTGACTTTTAAAAACAAGTTGTAAATGTACATTGAACACGGATGACAGTTCGTATGAGAGATCAGGAACTAAAAAAATACCCGTGAGGAGTTGAAGCTGCTCTTTGACGGGACTCTGAGGTGTGTCACATACTTTGGCCTGAAGTCACAGGCGAGTCCTGTTGCAGCTCCATGTAAGTTCTGGCACACGGTTTCTCTCAGAGGAAGAAAAAGAGTGTTTACCGTCCCAATAGGCCTTTGTTGCACATCTGTTGTTACCATGTAAATGATGCTGGTGGTTGCGACTACAGGGTGTGAATTGGCATGAGGTCCCGCCTGCGGTGGGGAGAGCTTTTTGGAAGTGTCCTGCTGGCCGGAGGGTTCCCATTGTTCATCCAGTATCATGCTTTGCATTTTACTTGTAGCCTGACGATGTGATGCCTGCAATTATAAAGATAATGTAGTTCTTCTTTGATTATTAATCCAACTCTGTCATTTATCTCTGTCATGGATAGTAGTGGGATATCTTCAAAGTAAAAGAAACATTTACAATTTGTCTGAAATGGAAGCTTCCTATCAAAGTGAATGGACAGGTAAACATGTGGCTTGTTGTCATAGTGCACAGTATTTTCTTCTTGCCCTTTGCCACATGAAAGAAAAGCGAGACCCCTGCTATTAATGATTGAGCACAGTAACAGGTCGCCCTGCTGGGCGAGATTGTCACAGTAGATCCAGCCTCACAGCAGCGCTTTGTGTGGTGTTTACAATATGAAAAACACAGAATGTCCCAGATGGAACTGGAGTACTCTGGATCTGTGCGGGATTGATGACTTATCTGCGAGTGACTGGAAGTGGGGCAGTGATGAAAGGAGGCAAAAACCTCGCCCTGCAAATACTTGTGGACAACCTGCTCATCTGGTCCGACTGAAAAGGAAGCGAGCTGTGTAGGAGGGAGGGGGAGAGCCTTGAAGGCAGCATGAGATCTCTGTCCGTATGTGATGTCACAGGAGGCGGGGCTGGTGAAAGGGGCGTGACCCGCTCAGCTGAAACTCTTGCAACACCTATCCGGCTCCCTGGGAACAGACAGTAGAGCGTTTTGTTCGGGGAAGCGCTGGTCCGGTGGGAAAGTCAAAGAGATTCAATACAGACCTGAGAGAAATTCCTCAGGGATTTGAGAAGCAGTAAAGGTCCCTGACGGTAAGCCTTTCCATTGTGTCCAACCGTTACCTGTTCAGCCGTTTGTTTTTGCTCCTTAATGGTGTCCCTGCTCTGTGGGATGTGGATGCACAGGCGCTGTCACTGTGTGACAGGAAGCTTTGTGATGTGTTACAGTTGGTTTGCTTATTACAGAATCTGCCCAGCAAATATGTTTGTCCTAAGTGGACGTGGAGATCTGGTTTGTCTCCGGGTTCCTGATCCATAACCTTGTGTCCTTATAGAGATGTATGGGGAAAGGCATTAATCAAGTTCTTTCTCCCCAAAGCGAGCAAAGAGAATTGTTCACAGATCTGCTCAGTGCGCCCAGTATGAGTGGAGCAAATGTTTCTTCCGCCGCCCGGCACAGTTTTGCTCCATGCAGTGGTGGCAGCATTATGACAGCACGGGTGTTACCGGCTGGCCGTTTAAGTTTCAGTGGTATCATTGATGTTCCAAAAAAAAAACATTTATTTGGAGGGAACGGATGGAATTTGTTCGGGTGGAATGCGGATGATGTGCTGATAATTTCGGTGTGGGTGGGTGGGTGTGTGTTTTCGATCATGGATGGGTCATGCCGCTCTACTCCTCCCCCCCCCCCCCCGTTTCCACAGCTGTACCACTGGAAGCAGTTGGAGAATTTGTATTTCCGAGAGAAGAAATTTGCTGTAGAAGTAAACGACCCTCACAGGTCAGAGAAGGCAAACTGCTTCATTTACCTTAACTGATCTTAACAGATGTGTTTACTGTTCCCTGTAAAAAATGAGTATAGCAGACTCCATGTTAACAGCTGTAACTTTTCTGTCAAATGAGTCTATAATGTCCACTTTATTACTGTATGGTTGCTAAAGACCTCTGCCCCTCACACAAGCTTTAACGTGGCACTGAACCCCAAAGCTGATGTTAAATCCCTTTTAAAAGGAGCTTGAGTTTGTTGCTCTTCACTATATTATCACACAGACCCACAAATTGAATTGGCCAATTACCTTAATCGTCTTTTTTAATCTTGAAATGGACACACATTTTTGTTAATCTTAATTAAAGCCTTTTTAATCCACCTTTAACCGTTTACTGTTTGTATGCAGCTGCTGAACAGTTGCTTCTTGGATCAGCACTGAACGTTTGTCTTGTTCTCCTCTCCAGAAGAACAGTGACCAGGCGAACATTCGGGCAGACCGGTCTGGTTATTCACACATGGTATGCCAGCCACTCTCTGATTAAAACCATCTGGGTGATGGCAATCAGCCAGCACCAGTTCTACCTGGACAGGAAGACCAGCAAAGTGAGTGTTTCCCTTCACAGATTCACTCTACTTCCTTCTCAGCAAGCCAACTCTGCTTCATACTCTCCGTGTTCTCACCGGGCTGCAGAATGAGCCTTTAGACAGATCGGAACCTAATGGAGCTCCCGTCTTTCACTTCCCGTTCCAATATGAACACACTTTCTGTGTAAAAGGGTCACAGCATGGTGTGATGGTGACAAATCATCATGTGATGCACTGCCTGATCCATGCCGTGACTTGTGTAAATAAAGGGATGTGATGGGTCACCAGGTTTGATGCAAGTAGGTCTTGTGCCTCGTGTTGAGAAATGATCGTGTCCTCAGTCTGCTGAGCTCACACCCGGTTGGATGGCTTTAATTGAGTATTTTCATCATTCTGCCGATGTAGCAGGTAGAACGAGTTATATTCTGGCTATTTCTCCATTGTGGTTTAAGAATAACACGTTCAACCCAAAGCTTGTTGATAATAAATAGGAAAAGGCACTGCGTGTTCTTGTCCTTGTCCCGGTGTTGAAAGTTACCAGAATATCCCGCGTTGTGTTTGACGCTATTTGCTGAGTTGTGTGTTGTGTGCGCGCTTCGTGGCGGAGATGGATGAGCGTGTGGCTGCAGTCAAATGAGGTTATTTCGCCTCCGTCTCCCTCAAAGGCAGATGGTGTGTCAGCGTTCATCCAGGAATAGAGCTCGCACTGATTGATGAGAGAGCAGGGCGCGCTCGGAGTACGCAGCATGCAAATGAAGCCGCCGCTAATATTTGAATCGAGTCAAGACCGTTTATTTTCTAACATGAAACGGTCACTCACAACCCCCCCCCCCGCCTCCCTCTTTACAGTCAAACGTGTCCACAACCAGGAGCTCAGGAGACATCGCCATGGACCTCACAGAGATCAGCGCCCCGCGGATCATCAAGCGGTCCACCATTGAGAGCAGAGACCGGCTCATCATGGCCAGCAACGGCAGCCTCATCTCAGCCGGTGAGCAGACAGCCAATCTGCAAATGGCTGGTGCTCCACATCAGAATGACGCGGGATGATTGATTGCTTTAATTCCCAGTTAATCAGATGTGCACTCATTGCAGGTTCCGCGGACTCTGAAGTCAGCGACGAGCAGAAGAAGGAGAAGGTTGCCGAGTTGAAAAAGAAAGAGAAACACCTTCAAGACCAACTGGCGCAGAAAATTGAGGAGCTGAAGAAGATCTGCATGAAAGAAGCCGTGAGTTATTCCTCTTTTTCTGTTGCTTTGCAAAGAAAAAATGTCCCCTTTTCTAAGCTGACTGTCCGATGTGGTTCTCATTTGCAGGAGCTCACGGGCAGGTTGCCTGGCGACTATCCGTTGGCCACAGGGGAGAAGGCACCTCACGTACGGCGGCGTGTCGGGACGGCCTTCAAGCTGGATGACCTTTTCCCCTATGACGACGTTAGTATGGCGGGATCTGTTATGTAATCATGGAGGTTACACTGGGGGAAAACAACACTGTGTTTGTTTACCTGGAGACCATTTTGATCATGTGGCTTTTTGAATTGAGGCTTAAGAGGCTTAAAGTGTAGTTTGAGGCTGACGTTGCATAATGCTCTGCATGAAACATTTGTTGGGTTTCCATCTGCAAGTCAATTGGAAAAATGATGAATCACATTTTAAATGTGACTCTGTCCTCAGAAATGAGTTTACTGAATTCTTTGTCTGCTTCTCTGCTCATAATGTTGCAGCTGACAGGATTTGTCTCTGTCCCTGCTAACCGCGCGTTGTGCGTCCCTCTGCAGGACCCACATCTAAGGAATCTGGAGAGCAGGTTCGCCTTGCAGCAGAAGATCGTGGAAGCGGCCATGAAGTTATCCAACGAGGGCGACCTCTGCAAGACGGTGAAGAAAAAGAGGAGAAACAACTGCCTGGATGCGGCGAGGAAGCTTGAGGAGATCGAGAACGAGATCAACGACTACAGGATCAAGAAAGGAAAGAAACCCACCCAGAGAGCCTCACTGATCTTAGCAGGTACATGACATCCACAAATGAAAGCTTGATATTACGTTTTAAGAAGTGAGCTTTATTTATCAGTGGCAGTGGATTAAAAAGTCTGTCGCTTTCTATGGAAGTGGAATATGTGATGTGTCTCTGAGGGTTTTTTCTCTTCTGTTACCAGACGATGTGAAGCTGTCGGACCTCAGCTCTCTATCTGACAGCCTCACTCTGGATGATGGTAAGTGCCCAGTCATACCGGGTGCGTGTGCTTGCTCCCCCATTGGCTGCATTTTGGATGCAATTTAAACCAAGCAATCCATTTTATCTCCCAGATGATGAGCCCATTTCCCAGAGGCAGTGGTCTACATCGGTTCCGTATTCCCCGCACCCCCACCACGCTGATGCTCTGGACGTCCACTACAACAACGAGCGGGGCTCTGCCAGCGACCAGCATGCAGACAGCAGGTACAGCGAGCACCGACCCGTGACATGGATTCATAAATTGGTTTTCAGTGTGTGTCTGACAGTTGTTTTTGTAGACACGCTAAGCACAGAGCTAGTACAGACCTGTAGGGTCGATCCAGAGCTGCATTCCTGCCAGTCTCCTCCCTCCTTATCCTGCCTCTCCGACAATCTCGCTCTTATCAGCCCACCACACCAACTTTAAAAATAGATGGAAAAGAACATGTCGCTGCCTGTGAAGACCCTTCCAAGCAGAGAGCCCAGAAGAGAAGGAGCTCCTGAATGGCTGTTCACTTCATCTCACTTTAAACAGCCGTAAAGCTCGTAAAGTGATGCTTACAAGCAAAGCCTGGCTGTTTTCCTCATGTGTTGCGAGAAAGGGAAACCGTGCTGGTGTTCATCTGAATAACGAGCTCTGCCCGAAAGAGAAACCGTTGTTCCTAAACCCTTTGTTTGTTTCAGGTTAAATTATGGCCAACAGGAAGCGCTCCACTACGGTCACTGCGACGCCTTATCGAGCCACAGCAGCCCGCTCAAAGCGGCTTCCAGGCAGCCACGTGACGCCCGCAGCATGCCCCCCACGCCCCTCCTCACCCGCAACGCCTACAGCAGCAGCCAGCTCAGGTAGGACCCGACCACTGACCGCCCGCTGTGCTCCACAAGCCGTGCCTTTACATGTGGCTTTAAATGTGTTTTTTAGAGGATTGGAGGATGAGCCGCAACTCTTCCGCCAGCGCAGCGGCAGTCTGGAGTCCCAGTCTCAGCTCGCCACAGAGACCGGACCCCCCGTGCCAACGTTCACCATGGCCCCGGCCCGACGCAGCAACAGCACCGAGGTCCTCGACGACGGCTCCTCCTACACGAGCCACTCCAGCGCCGAGTACAGCGTCCCCGGCAACCCCGCGCACCGGCGCCGGGCTCGCGGACGCCACCGGAACGTGTACGCCAACACGGGCAGCATGCCCAACCTGGCTCAGCCGGATACCCGTTGCCACGCCTCCCAGCCGCGGGGCAGACCCACCACAACGGCCTACTGCGTGACGGGCTACCGCACTTACCAGGAGCCGGAGCCGTACCCCGACCGAGACTACATGTACAACAATGAGATGCAAGGACACTACAGCCTCAATCCCTCGTACCGCCACGTGCCCGCGGCGTACCACGGCCACTACGCCCCCGACGAGTTGGACGGCATGTCCCAGAACCCGTACGCCACGCTGAGGCCACCCAGGAGCCGCCCGGCGCCACGCGCCAACGAGCACGCCGTCCAGAAGGAGATGGTGGCCGAGCACTTGAGAGGCTGGTACCATCGCAACGCCGCTCAGAGGCAGCCCGCGTACAACTACGACTACGACAGAGGCTCCCAGCAGAGCCTGGGCTACCAGACCACGGCCGCGCCGCACAGCAGCCGGAACATCTCCTACTCGGGTGAGACCACCGCCCCCCGTGCTACAGGCTCTGGTGCCTGGTGGTTTTCCCTGGTTTCGCATGTTGGCGGGCCGGTTGCTGACGACTTCTTCTCCTCCTCCAGTGTCTTCAGTGTCGTCCAGCGTGAACTGGCAAGGCACCATGAGTGTTTGTAGCGGTATGTCGGAATACAACATGCCTGTGCACGCGCCGCAGTCCTACGCCTACAGCACAACCCCCTACACCCACTCCGCCCACCACAGGTGAGAAAACAAAGCCATCCATTAGGCCCCTCCCTGATCCTACTTATCCCGACCTAAGCACACTGTTTAATTACCTAGAAGGAACCTGCCACCGGCTTCTGTTCTTCCCTTTACTGCGGCCCCTGATGGCCTTTTTTGTTACCTTTTCTTCGAACGCCGGCTCGGCTGCAGGGTTGAAGGATCTGTGCAGCGGTCAGAGCTTAAGACTGCTTCCTCTCCTTAACCACACTGGCCCCTGCTTTCTCATAGATATGGTGCCTCTGAGACCTTTATGAGTCCCTGGCTCAGCCCCGACGGCCGGAGGCGCTGTGCCATTTTCCCTGCTAGTTCTCCCCCTTCAGCCCCCCCTCCCACCTCCGCCTACTCCCCCGGGTGTCGGGTGAGGCAGGTGGCCTCCAGCCCTGCACAGCCTCAATCCTCCAGAGGGCTCAGGCTCAATCACGTGTCCTTTGCTAAAGGTAGTTCATAGTAAGTACAGAGCGGAGCCTGTGCGTTTGCTTCCGTCAGTGTGCAGCGTGACGCCGCCGGCTGCTGCTGGATGTTTTGAAGTGAAGTTTTGAGCTGTTTGACTCGTCTTTCTTTCCTCGTCATGTATGATGTAGTAACTGCATGGCTTCTTAAAATGAAAACACGCCTGGCGTCACGTCATCCAGTGGTCCATTCCTCTGCCCCGTTTGTTTGCCTCTGCTGTGTGTCTTCGTGCTGAGACTCGCTGCCACTCACCCATGACCTTTGCCCTCCTCTCATGCACAGATGTCCCACAGAGTTTGAGTGGCGGAGCCGTGATAAGATGGCGCGCCCCGCGCAGCCTTTAGAGAGGTGTGGGGCTGTTGCCTATGCTACTGACCAGGAAAAATTAACCCCGCTTCCCCCAATTAACAGTCGCAGCGCAGAAGAAAGGGTGAGAGATGAGAATGTAAACTTTGCCACACGGTTAACATGGTGATGGTGGTGTGTCTTAAAGAAACGTATACGTGTCAGGGACTAACAGAGAGCTCCCAATCATCTCACATTGCTCCGGGCTTCTGTACTCTGGGTGTCTGGCGGTGGTGGGAGAGCACAGAGGAGAAATGTTTGTCTGTGTGCATCTGCTTTGTTGTTGGGTGAGAATGACCCTGGATGGACCTTTTTGTGAAACGATTGATATTAAGGTGCCTGAAACACAGGAGGTAACTAAGCACGTGATGTCCGTCTGCTTCGTTTGGGTTCCTGAGCTCCGCACTACTAAGCTGATAAGTCGCCCGCTGCCGTCCCTCTGCCTCCTTGTCTCACCTCCTTTCATCTGGTGTTTGTTACAGATCCTACAGAGACGTCGGCCAAATGGACTCGCTCATTGGCCACCAAATGCACACTGACCTGCAGCTGGAGGACCAGATTTGCTGGAACGAGGACTCAAAGCCGGGAACAATCGTGTAGCTGCCTGCCTGTTGACGGGCTGCATTTGTTCTTCACCGTGACAACTTGTCATTGTGCCTTAAACTGCACTTACCTGTTTGTCTTCACACGAGGATCCAAAGAAAGAAGGAACTTGACTGTAAAGGAATCCCAGTCCCCCAAACCGAGCCACCACCACGTGGTCTTAACAGAACGCGCCGGGGAGCGTCCTCGTTGCCGGATTGCCAGTGTTTGTGGCGCTGGCGCTCTGAAAGTACACCGGGACCTGCTGTGGTATCGGGCCCACGGACCGGGACGTCTCTGAGCATCGTGGGCCACGCGGAACTAAGCTGTGCCCCACGCGCTTGTATGAACACTGTAACCATGAAGGATTAGACTTTAAAGAGTTATCAGACAATGAAGAATTCAACTTATGACAAATGAGTCCGATCGACGGCTCCTTCCTGCAACGTCCCGCAGTTTTACCACAGCGGAGCTCGTAGCTGCAACAGAGAACTCTTGATCAGCATTTACAAAGTATTCCATCTGTCAGTACTTACAATACAATTGAGCCAAAATCCTGTCACAGTTTGAGTATTACCTAAGTCACAAACGTTGATGTCACTGCCACATCTCAACTGTCCTGCAGGAAGGCAGAATTCCTGTTTTTAATATTTTATTGTCACATGGTTATTTTGTCCATGCTGGAAATCATGGAGTGGTGCTCAGTTTCTCTCAAAAGAGAAGCGGTTTGTAAATGTTGGTATTGTAAATACACTGGTTGTGTCTTTTTTAGAGCGATTTTTTGTATTTGAAAAGCATGTAATATATAGTGAGCAACTGACGTTAAGCTGGGTCTTAGTAATTGTAAAATTGATTTGTTTGAATAAAAAAAGAAATCAGCTTTTGAATCATTTGTTCAGTTTGTGAGTCATAACTATCCATGAGAACAGTAAATACACTTTTAAATCTCGGAGGGAAACAGGATTTAACTCAATCTGTTAAATTAGGTACTTGAACGTTTATAATGATGGTTTGATAAAGTGGAACACGTGACTATGTTCTCCAATGCGGCGCATTGTAGTTGGACAGTTACGGGTACGTCTCACTTTCAGAGACCCTCGTCGGCTCCGTCCCTCTGCTGGTCCTTAAAAAAACCCACCCAACCAGTCACACCCATTATGGGGAAACCTGTTCTTCTGTGAACCACAAGCTAGTGCTCAGAACACCCAACCCTCCCCGACGGCATCGGGTTGTAAAACCTGCCCCCATCAACCCCACCTTGTACAGTAACCCTTCACCTCCTTTCCTGGACACATTTGTCCTTCCTCTGCTCCGTGAAGGCCACGACGAGGACCAGCTTCCCGTGTGCGTGTGTGTGTGCGTGTGTGTGTCTTCACACAGCTGCAGACAGACATCAGGCCGGCTGCTCCAGCTGACACTGGACCACATCAACAATGGGCCCCTCATCTAACGCAGAATGAAGAACGACACTAATTCTGCAGCTGCTTGTGTTCCTTCCCGGTTATTAAAGGAAGTGCGTGTTCAGAGGGTTCAAGTGGCCGACGGAGAATCTCATGTAAGTACGTCGTCGTGTTCCACAGAAGCCCTGAAGGACAAAGCGGACTCTAGACGGGACCCTCGTGCCGTCCCCTCAGCGCTCCGGAGTTACGCTGGTCCTTCAAAAGTGTTTGTAGGCTGTTTTGTCAATACGGTGATGAAATGAACATGTTGTTGTCCACATTGATGCTAAGCTATGGACCATATTAAACAGCCCCCACAGATCAGCCCCCTCACAGGACAACAGGCTGAGATTAAAGTGCCTGTAAATCGCGTTAGGCCTTCTCCAGGATCAGCACACTTGCCTCCATCCAACAAGTCATTCAGGGTGAATAGTTGGATTAGCTGAGCGCTCACGTGAGCTCGCACAATGACCTTCTGTCCAGCGTTGGGAAGGAGCCCCCCGGGCTTTTGAAGCCGATGCTACACGATGGTCAGAAGGTGTAGTGCTCGTCTCCAGCTCCACCACCTGACTTCTCCCCATAGACTTAAATGACTCATGACCGTATCCTGTATCATTTATTAGACTCTAAATAAGATCAATCCAGATTGTTTTCTTTGCTCCGGTAATATGAATCAACTTGAGAACGTGGAAGGACCACGGATGCAATTTTAGAACTGGGTGTTGTCATCTCGGTGTCCCTCGTTTGTTTCTGGACAGAAGTCTTCAGCTAACAATTTCCTGGCTGCCATGTTGGATTGTGGCCGTCGCCATGTTGTTTTTTTTGCAACCAACGAACAGAAGTTATTGTGGTTGTGGAGAGTGCAGAGGAGTTATACGGAGACGCTGCATATGGCGCCGAGCAGAACTTCATGCTTACTATCGTATGAATCAAGCCAGAAAGGTTTAGATGCATTTCAGACGTATTTTTGCAACGAAGAGTTGCCCCCTGCTGGTCAGTGGAGAGAATGCAAGCATTGGACTACAATACCGCAGAGGTCACAGCCCAACCCCTTAACGTGTCACATGATCAGCTGCAGCGGAGGCTTGAGCAGCAGCATCTGCTCGCTGAAAGGCTGGTTGGACTTATGAAGCGAGGTGGGATAAAAACGAGGCCTCTCATGCAAACCGAAGGGTGAAGCATGACCTGAAAGCAGGTGAGCCCAGAGGCAGCGAGCTGCGTGCATCGTGCACCACCAACAACATGAAGCAGCCCATTAGACGGAATGACTCCTCGTGCTTGTTTTTCGTGGTGGAATCTAAACCGATATGATTAGTCAGCGGCACGGCGTTCCTTAGCAGCTCGTGCAGCTCGTTACACAGGTTTGTTTTTGTGTCACGTTACCTGGTTACTTTTGCAAACAACAATAATTGTTTCACAATGACAACGGGGGCCAAGTAGTGTTGACTGCAGTGTTGTTGGGTGTGTTTGAGGCTTCCTCTCCTGGAATTCCAGTCTGTCCAGGAGAAATCAGGCACCTGTCGGGGGGTCGGGGGGTCGGAGCACACGTGTCACTTGGATCCTGACAGCAGCTGCATCTGAACAAGGCTCTCCACTGTGTCCTTGGAGACAAGACTTTACTTGAGTTTATTGCTACCAGCGCTCCGGTTCACTGCTTCCAAGTTGCACAATATGGATGGAGATGAGGCAACGCGGTAGAGGCCATAAATCACTACTGTAGCACGGGGGGGCCGGGGGGCTGCAGCTCAGCTCACGGTTAAACTGTCACGCCCGAGTTTGCCGGGGCAAGTTTAAATCCTTTTGGAGAACCAAAGCAAAAAACAGTGATTAGTCTTTTTATTGGCAGTCATCTTTATCATGTGGTCTCCCAATCTGCACGCTGCCACAGAACCAAATTACAGGACACTCTGTTCCACGTGGATTCTCATTATCTGCACTTCATTCCAAATGGAATCCAATAAGAAAAGCAGCTGGAAGACGCTGACGCAGCAGCTATCTGGGTTCTTGGAGGTGAACGACAGCAGATGAATCCACTCCGTCACTGTGCAGCTCTCTATCATCTACTGCAGCCCATCGATTGGCATCGGCCGCAAGAGCAAAGCAAACTCAGTCAATCCATCAGCCTTGTCAACATTAAACAGCCACGAGGGACAGGAGGGATACTGATGGCCGAAGGTTAAGACCTCGCATCCTTTGAACCTTCTTTTCAGATACGGACCCGGGGGTCAGCGTCCGGGGTCACGCGTATTTAAAGAAGAAGAGCACGTCTTTCTCTTTGTGCGGTTTATTCAACAGCATACTTCAGTCATTGGAAAGAAGAGATATTATTCAAAAAACTTCACAGTCCAGCCCCGCAACACATGCGTGTCGGCCGTTGGCTTCTTTATTCTTTCTTTCAAAGCAACACATGTGCGAGTGGTGGGGGGGGGGGGGGGGGGCTGGTGTATCCAGATGTGTTCCACATGAACACTCGCACACTGCGTAGCTGAAACGTCTGTCAATAGTGCCCAGGCAGGTTCTGAGGGGAGTGACCGATACCCTGAGGGAAACACACACACACACACACACACACACACACACACACTGTATATGAAACAAACTCTGGATCTTGTCGGATGTTTGTTCAAAGGAAGAAGACGCGAGAGGACAAAGTCCATTCACTCCTTCAGTTTTCCCTCCAGGAGGCCCTGGATCTTTAGAAAGTTCTCCTCCTGCTGACCCAGGGCCTCCAGCAGAATGCCCATGGGGGACCTCTTCAGCCCGGCTCCCTCCATCTTGTTCTCCAGTTTGTTCTTCATGTTGCGGAGGCGAAAGGAGGCGTGTGCAAATATCACTGCAAAAGCAGACGCGAAAAGAGACAGTTAATGTTTTAAACATCTTGGCAAAAACAAAACTATAAACCTTTGTTCAAGTCAACGTGAGTTCAAGTCTTTGAAGCTCTGAAAGAGTTCAGTTCAAAACATGTTTTATTGATTTAGAAAGAACTGTGTAGCCAAAGCTTCATTTCACAATACTAAGATAACTATGCATCTATTTTGCATTAAAACATTTATTGAGCTGGTTAGTTTCATATTAGTCTCTTTACTTCTTTTTGCCAGGAGCTAAATTGCAGCAACAGGTAGGAATTATATTCAATGCTTAAATGACCTTCCACAGTGTCACGTGAACTCACAAGCCAGAGGTAAAGTGATGGCCGTCATGAACACCATGACGCTCCCCAGCATGGAGATCAACATGTAGCTGGTCACCATGACGGCGATCACGAAGGCCGTGGGATTGTTCCTCTTGAAGTTGCTGATCACGGATCGGTTCTCTGCGGCCCACACGGAAGCCAGGAAGACGGCCGACACCACGGCCATCGCTGTGAACATCCCCAGGGGGTTCAGGAACCTGCAACATGGAAGCACAGGGGCCACTTCAGGAGCCTGTGTGTGTGTGTGTGTGTGTGTGTGTGTGTGTGTGTGTGTGTGTGTGTGTGTGTGTGTGTGTGTGTGTGTGTGTGTGTGTGTGTGTGTGGTCACTGGCTCCCTCAAGTGGTCAGACGTGGTTTGGACAACAACAAGACGCAAAACACAGGAAACCTCTGCGTGAAAAAAAGTTATTTTCTAAAACACAAAAAGCACAAAACCTCTGAAATGAACTCCGCAGTGCGGCTGGTGACAAACGACACTATTGCAACTAAAAATATAACTGGCATTTTTCTAATGCAATTTGTGGTCCACGTTTTTGCTCTTGCCTCTTTTTAAATGTTTGTCTGCCTCCGTGCTGGTGACGCACTGTAGGAGACGTGGTGATTCCTCTTACCTGTGACTGCATATTGATTATTTTGTTCCTCTGGGTATCAAACACACGTGAATGTGCCGACACGTCGAAATAAACTAAACTAACGTGTCAAAGTTCAGTCCCTTTGGTTTAGTGTCCTGACTCAATATGGACCGTGAGAAATGACCCAACACACTCAACAGCTGACTGCACACACGTGACCATGGCAACGACGTCATCAGAGGGCTGGAAACAGGCCGCTGATGATGGTGAAGTGGGGATAACAGACGGGTTCGGCCTGGGGTCAAAACGTGCACTTCAGGCCTGTGGAGTCCGGGCCGAACATGGGTTCATTCAACGAGCTTCCATGTTCTGTACATCTCATTGTGTTCAGCACTTTTATATTGACAAGTCTTTCTACGTGAGGGACACAAACAGGACAGTCTGCGTCTTTATCTTTAATCCTTTTAAGGCGACATCCAAGTTGATCAACAGGACAATAGTAACGAACACGAAAGGTGAAATCAACCGGAACGTAAACAAGAGGAAATGTAGGCGAGAGCCGCCGAACCAGGACCGACATGCGGTGACTTTAAGTAACTTACCCCACAACGAGGAAAACACCGACGGCCAGAGCCAAATAATTAGTCTGATAGTAAAGCAGGTTGTTGACAACTCTGTTGTTCCATTTGGCCAAATCTTTGCCGTCCGGCTTGGCGAACCGGTCCGGGCCGGGGTAGAAGTCGTCCCACGCTCTCAGCGGCGTCAGCTCCACTTTGGCCATTTCCTGCGGTTCCGTTTGCTTCTGTCAGTCGAGAGCCGAGAGCCGGAAAGCCGCAGCCAGGAGCAAGTCTCGCGAGAAGCCACCACCATCTCGTTTAAAGCCCCGCCCACTGCCAGACGAACCCTCACGCGGTTGGTCAGTAACAGCACGTGATGTAAAACGCTTCCTTGTAAGAGTTTCGCTCGGAGCAGAGAGGGACACAGGGACGAAGGTGCTGTCTGCTTATTCTACTTGCCTTTGAAGTAACAGGTTAGTTCTGTCTGTGATGTCTGTTACTTCTACTTTGGTCTGCGGACGTTCAAAGATGACTAAGCACCGTGACACGTGCACGCGGACCAACGGCGCAACGTGAGCTGACTCATCGAAGAGCCGCTTCGATGTTACAGGATCGTTTTTGGTTTGCAGATGTGGAGCAGAATCTTGCGTCCTCGTGTGATTGACACAACATCTGTCTGTTGGAGGAGTCTCTTTACTATGAAGCTGGAGACCAGTGAGTTCCAGTCTCTGTCCTCCGATGGACTGAACGAACTAGCAGGTGAGAGACAGCAATGACTGGACACCTGACAGTCGTTTGTCCACCAGAGAGCTTCACCGTGTCCACCATGATCACCGTGTCCACCATGTCCTGCTTTAAATGTCCCATTCGACTCAAATCTTGATCAAAGGGATTTTAAGGAAATCATATGAAGGATTATTATCAGATATTCTCTGTACGTTCTGTGTTAATGTCTATAAACTGCACAGTGACGGTTTGATTCATCCAGTGAGATTGTTCGTATCTCCAGAAACAGTCCTGTGAAAAGTTCTCCAGCTGGTGTCAACGTGCGTGTTTGTTCTCCAGCGATTTTTGAGAAGCATGATCACGAGCTGAGGATCGCCGGCGGTGCCGTACGAGACCTGCTCTCCGGGAAGCGGCCTGAAGATGTGGACTTTGCGACCACGGCCACTCCAGAGGAGATGAAGCGCATGTTCCAACAAGCCGGCATCCGGATGATCAACAACAAAGGAGAGAAACACGGCACCATCACAGCGAGAGTAAGAGGAGGACTGTAGCTGCTCCCTTTAGTCCACCTGGGATCAAGACAATACGCTTGATTTGCGATGGTGATGGATCAGCCATCATGATGGATTATGGGAGAAGACTCACAGCAACAAGAAGCGGTCCTTTGTTTACGTGTAATATTTAAATAACTCATCTAATGAGCAGATCAATAGTCTTCCAGCATTAAATGGCCATTTATTCCTCTTTGCTGTGTCACTATTCCTCCGTGTTTGCTTTACTGTTGTTGTTTTTTTCATTTATTTGTAGCTGCACAATGAGAACTTCGAGGTGACCACGTTGCGCGTGGACGTCCAGACCGATGGACGTCATGCGGAGGTGGAGTTCACCACTGACTGGCAGAAAGACGCTGAGCGCAGAGACCTCACCATCAACTCCATGTTTCTAGGTGCCTGGACGCGTCCTGCATGTGCACATCGTTTCATTCTGTTTATGTATTTGTGTCACACGCTGTGTCGGTCTCCTCCCCTTTCCACACAGGACTCGATGGGACGTTATATGACTATTTCAAAGGACACGAGGACCTGCAGAACCGCAAAGTTCGCTTTGTCGGCAGCGCTGAACAAAGAATCCAAGAGGACTACTTGAGGATACTGCGCTATTTTAGGTGGGCGTTTCTCACTTAAAGCATTGTTTCTTTTTGACCTGAACGTCTGACTTGCCTCCCAGGTTCTACGGCAGAGTGGCCCTGGAGCCCGACGGTCACAAGCCCGAGACGCTGGCCGCCATCCGGCAGAACGGCCGGGGACTCGCAGCCATATCGGGGGAACGCATCTGGGTGGAACTGAAGAAGATGGTTGTCGGTAACCATGCCGCTCATCTGCTGGAGCTGATGTACCGTCTGGAAGTGGCCCAGTACATCGGTGAGCGGCGGTCCATGAAAAGGTTTAAGGAAAACAAGGACCCTCGGTCCGATTTCAGCTTAAATATGAATATGAACCTGGAGCCAGGAGACCATTACCCCCCTCAGCATGAAGAGGGAGAAACAGAAATGCATATTATCTTTTTCTCGTGTTCAAATTCATTTTGTGACACCGATTGGTCCAATACAACAAATGTGTTTTTCCTCTGAATGATTTTGTAGTCAAGCAGCCAACAAAAACACCAATTTCAGGAAGGTCTTTTGCAATCAATGGTTGCTTGAAGTGTTTTATACACACACACACACACACCTTGATTGGCTGATTGACATCTCAATGTCCAGAATCAGAAACCTCTACTGGAAGTTGCCGCCAATTTTAAACCGTTTCTAAATGACGGCGATCTTGCTTCTCGACCTCTGTGGTCCCGTGAAGTCTAGTGTTCGTCCGCTGTGGACTGAGAGGATTTAGTGGCTCCTGATGATCAAACTCTCCTCAGGCATTTGGTCCCTGCAGAGGTCTTCTACCAGGAAACCAGCCTTCAACAGTACAGTGTTCTTTGTCACACCTGAAACTGAAGGTGCGCTCTGCTCGTCCCTCCTCAGGTCTTCCTCCAGACGGCAACATCGAGGAGATGAAGCGAGTGTGGAACACCGCCAAAGACCACTCTCCCAAGCCCATGACGGTCCTGGCGGCTCTCTTCCGCTGCCCGGAGGAGGTGGAGAAGATGGACATCCGGCTGAAGGTGTCCAGGGAGGAGAAGACTCTGGCTCTGTTCCTGGTCAAGTACCGGCAGGAGCTCTGCAGGAGCCAAGACGAGCCGGACAGCCTCAAGCCCTTCACCGACTTCATCTTCGACGTGAGTTTCTGCCTCGTTACGTTGTCTGTTTTTTTTATTTTTGTGTGCGTGTTTTTAAAAAGAAGATTTAGAGTTTCTCAAAACATGATGTCAGTCAAACGTTTCATCACACTGGATTTAACTTAATAAGTTAGAAAAAGAAAGTTGGATCAGCACAACCAAACGAAAAGGACACTGCAGAGTAACTGGAATAACATCGTGTCATTATGTTGACGTCGTCTTCCATGAACACAAAGGATCTGTTTCTGTAACGATGTTCTTATCGGTTTGAAGGGAATGTGATTTAGTGGCAGAGCGACTGTCAGCGGCGTTTTTCTGGTTTGTCGGCCGCTGTCAATCACATCGTGTGGTTTAATTCCTGTGTTTCCTGTTTTCAGAGCCGGGAGCTGGACACCCAAAGTAAAGTGTGTGAGCTGCTCAAGTACCAAGGTGAGGAGAAGCTGCTGGCCGAGCTCAGCAGGTGGTCCGTCCCCCGCTTCCCCATCAGCGGTCACGACCTGAGGAGGCTGGGCATCACGTCGGGAAAGGACATCGGCGCCACCTTACTGGAGCTCCGCGACGTCTGGAAGAAGAGCCGTTACCAGATGGACAAAGATGAACTTCTTAGTTGCATCAAGTCTTAGATGAAGTGGAGGCGATTGTTCCTCGCTGCCGATTGTTGACGGTGGGACACGAGCAGCAGCAGCTGATGGAGGCCGGTGCCGCTTTTATTTGTCCCCAATCGCCTGGAAGGAGAAACGCACACACGATGTACTCCTCGCCACGGGGTGACTGCTGATCTCCTCGCCACCATCTCAGCAGCTGCCGTGTTACTGACGCTTAGATGTTCAACCCGGGTTCCTCCTCAGTTTGCCTGCGGTCGTGTATCATTTCTTTGCTGCGTTTTCTGTAAAGAAAATGTTCTTTTAGTGAGAACCTGCAGAAAGCAAAGCCCCATGTTTATGTTTGACTGTGGTGATATAAATCTCCCACTACGCTGTAGAACATAACGGCGTTCGGCTCTTCTGTGTATTTGTTGATGGCTGGATTCCCCGTAAACGTCGGTGACGCCGCTTTGGGGACGAGCGCTGCTGTCCGTCAGGACGCCTGAACGCCGGCCTCTCGTTGGCTGTGCAGGCGGAGGAAGCGTCCAGATTCCCGTTTGAGTTTAGAACGAGTTGCATCTCGCTCAAATATAAAAGCTACAGGGACGTGTCCTCTCCCAGCGACTAGTTAAACATTGCGCCTCGTTCCTCTAATGGACAATTGAGGTAAAACGTTTAATTGACACTAAGTTAGAAATTGGTCCCTCAATCAGTGTTCGAGGATCGAGTTGGTAAAATAAGGAAGCTCTGTTGTCACCATGCTGATGCTGATGTGAACAGCTGTGCAGCGGCGAGCGGACCGAGACGCTGGTGGCCCTGATGTGTGAGAACACGAGAAAGTGAATAGTAAGTAAGACGACGTGTCCTTCGGACTAAAAGACGCACGTACGCTGCAACTGACAAGTTAAACACATATTTGCAATAACGGGTACATTTAGGAAAAGTAACGTACAGAAACAAGATTATAAACCAGAGTAAACACTTCTACAGGACCATGAGTAACAACACTAAACGGGTAATAAGTGCAAAATAAACGTGTTTTGGGGATTTTATTTGTAATGTTATTGTCTACCACGTGTTCTTAAGTATTCCTACATTTACACACAAAGTAGATGAGACAATTTCAGTGAGTAACTTATAACTAGTTTTAACTAGAATTTATTTATTTTACGTCTAATTTGACAAAAGTTCATCTGGCACTGCCACACTTGCAAAAGACATCTTTTGACTCTTTGACTGATTGGACCACCTGGACTAGTCCAGCCTGAGGCACATATCGGGTTTGTGTGTATTCACGTTGATGTCAGGGACTTTCAGTCTTGACTCTTGCAGGTCTGGTCTTCGTCCAGCAGATGTCGGTGCCGTCCTCCACAACAGGCAAAGACAACCCTGTCCTGCTCGACCTGTAGTGCGTTGAGGAGTGATGCTCGTTTGAAGGGTGACTAGAACGTTCTGTGATGTAGAATAAAACACTTCTTGAAGTAAGAAGATCAAATCACACGAAGCAGTTTAACAAGGCGGGCTAACGTGAGACGGACTTGTTCATTGTGACAGATGTGCGGATCAATAAGTGCTCGGTGAGTCCCGGACAAATGGATCTCTCTGCCATCAGTCAGGCAGCCGTAGACACTTAACAAGCTCAGAGTCCGTCTCCATCAGAGGACCATTTATCCAGAAGCAACGCTGGAGGCCCGTCGGACCTGCGTACCAGGATGCTCGTCTCCTTTGGTGAATGCTGAGCTGCTGCAGCCACTTAGTGCGCTGCATTATTCATCCAGATCATCCACGGCGCTGCGTCCAGTCAGCCAGGAAACCAGTCCTGATCCTCCCAGAACCAGAGAGGAAAAGCTTCCTGTGTGGCGGATTCTCTCTGGAGAATCTTTCTCACTGTCCGTATCTTTGTGGAGGAGGTGCTGCAGTGGTCTGAGACAGATGCACTATGATCGGAGTTTCACAGCTGTTCTTCTAACCTGTATTGTCCTCCCAATCGTCCTGCAGCGCCGCATGAAACGGCCTAATTGTTCTGCTTGTACCGTCACTGGCCAAGTAATGGCTGTAACATAAGGATAAGGTGTGTGTGTGTGTGTCCATCCGTCTTCCTGTGTTCATGTCACTGTGCATTTTTATCCTCGTAAAGATGAATTTCCACGCGCTGCCGTCAGCCTTCTGATGTCGTCATCATCCGTCAATCCTCGTCCATTTACCACCATCACCAGTCAACCTGCAGGTAGAACACAAGGATTGCAGATGAAACCCCATGAAACCAAACGTGGGTCCAGAAGCGTTAAGCTCTTATCGAGGCAAACGGCTTAATATCAACACATTGAGCTTTTCCAGCCACTGGAAGGACATGAGAGCAGGAGGGGGCGCTGATGTCAGCACCATGGTGTTGAGTTGGACAAACTTAAATAAAAACATTTGCTATTGGTTTGAGAACTTACGAGACACTGCACACATTTGCTGCAAATCTCAGTAGTTGGTGTTAATTGTGAAACGGGGATCTGTGAAAGTAGGAAATGTAAACTGCTAATTGGCTGAAGGTTCACATTTACCATAAAACCACGGCAACGGTCTCACAGCATGAATACGTATGATCCATGTATGTAAACATATGTATGCAACTATCCGTAGACACGACGGCAGTGCAGGAATCCCATTTGTCAGGAGGCCGATCCAGTGGACGGAGCCGGGGAGAGCAAGTAGCACAGCGAATGAAGATGACAGCTTCATGCTTCCATCACCCTGGTCGAGGGAGGACTGATGAGCTGCTTTCCTCCAGCAACCTCAGTCTTCATCCGTCGTCTCCTTGTAAACGGATTTGCAGGAGAGAACATGTCTCTGCCATCGATGTCACAACAAAGACGATCAGAGCAAAAATAAATAAAAAATAACGTTGCAGAAAGTTGCTCTCCTCCAGTGAAGATGTCAAGCATCCTTCCCTGCTGTGAAGCTACATGAATAAACTGATCTCCAGGATTTTCAGTGGTTGTACAACAAACCGCCGCAGAGCTGCGATTAGAATTGTTTATGCATAAACTTGGATTTTGCACCATCCTTTAGTAATAGAGACGTAGTCATCTGTGCAAAACCTTCGCTTTGTGGTTAGACGCAACGTTGAAGAGGCGTGTCATCTAAGACAACCCCCCAAACCGCGTTCAGCATCTCATCAATCCTGTGGCACCACTGCGGAGATGTTTGACTACGTCAGTGACCTCCACCAGGACAAATGAAGAGGCCGCCTCCACCAAAGAGGGCGTGTAGCTGCATTCAGGAGTTCCTCAGTGTTCCAGAGCCTGCTCAGCTCCTGCTCAGTAACGGTCCCATCCTTGCTGTACACAGCTTGGATGGTTCCCCGTTTCATAATTTATATTTATTTTGGGCAGAACAGGGACATTGTCCTCTATTCGCAGGCGCCGCTGATAAACACCAAACACACAATCAGAACCAGGTAGTTGTTTGAAGGGAGCAGCAGTGACACAACCGCAGTTTCCAATCAGCACCCCTGACTTGAAAAATGAGTTGATTGAGAAAAGATTGAAACTGACAAATCGAGCAGCTGAGGTTGAAAGAACAACACAGTTCGGCTGTTAAACGGCTTCATTATGAGCAGCGGATACGTGAGACACGCGAGTGTCCACATGCATCCTGTCCACATGCATCCTGTCCACATGCATCCTGTCCACATGCATCCTGAGGGGAGGTTCAGTGTGGCGACGCACCTCGTCTCCTAAAACACACGTCTGTCATTAATAGTTTGGCCTGGTTTACCTTTGACTAGAGGTGACTAGAGGTGACTAGAGGTGACTAGGGGTGACTAGGGGTGACTAGAGGTGACTAGAGGTGACTAGGGGTGACTAGGGGTGACTAGAGGTGACTAGAGGTGACTAGGGGTGACTAGAGGTGACTAGAGGTGACTAGAGGTGACTAGGGGTGACTAGGGGTGACTAGAGGTGACTAGGGGTGACTAGAGGTGACTAGGGGTGACTAGGAGTGACTAGAGGTGACTAGAGGTGACTAGAGGTGACTAGGGGTGACTAGAGGTGACTAGAGGTGACTAGGGGTGACTAGAGGTGACTAGAGGTGACTAGAGGTGACTAGGGGTGACTAGAGGTGACTAGGGGTGACTAGAGGTGACTAGAGGTGACTAGGGGTGACTAGAGGTGACTAGGGGTGACTAGAGGTGACTAGGGGTGACTAGGGGTGA